TGATTAATGCTTAATGTATAAAAAAGCACACACACGCATATGCATATGCATATACATATATGATCTGGAGAAAATCTTTGCCTAATATTTGAACATTCTATCACTGGAGTGTCACCACTGAAAAGTTCTTACTTAACTACTTGCTCATTGTATTGTTTATCTATTATGTATCAGATTTATATTTCACCTTTTGTTTGGGAAAGCTGTCTACAAAGCATTTTCTGCCATCAGTCCATTAGATAGGGCATCAACCTCCATCCTTTCATTAACTGTGTATAAACCAAGCCATCTGGCTTACCCGTAGAAGAGTAAGAAGAACATTCTTCTTCTTCTTTTTTACTACTGAACAAAATATTGAAAGAGTCTACCTGAAATATGTGTATTTATTTTGAATAAATATGTGAGTACTTAAAAAAAAAACGCTGGTTGTACAGCACAAGTGATCTTAGAGTCCATTGTCACTGTATCAGTTTAAACAAGCCCTGATAACAGAAAATGTAACTAAGCATTACAGTGTTATAGAGTATGCGCTGTTTGAGTTAGCACAACTGTTAAATCTTACTAATGATCCTATCACTGCTAAAATACATTAGCACCAATAATTTTATTAAAGTAGGTCATTTATCTAGAATAAAAAAGGGAGAAGAATGTGAATTAAATGCCAAGCATGCTAACTCCCCTGTACTTGTTAACATTGAATGGGATGCCCTGTAGGCCTTTCCCAGTATCATTAGGAATAGATTACCTGTCAGGAATATGTATGGCATATTCAAATAAGCACGGTGCATATTTTTAAAACTGATACGATATGAATCCGTGTAGACCAATTTTAATAGTTCAAAATGAGTCATAATTCTTGTTAACAATACAGTTATTTTTAAAATTTGCAGCAATAGTGGTCTTTTTTTATTTTCCTTATTGAAATTAAATGATATGCCTTAGGTGAGCCATTCATCACTGCTGAAAGAACTTGCCTTCTGTTGGAGTTCTCCACTTTTTGTCCATATCTAATATGTTTCCCACCATTTGGGGATTTGTTTTTTCAACATACAATGTTCTAAGTATAAATGTGTGTGCTTATGTAACTTTTTGAAAGGATGAACATGTTTGTTAAAACAGGGAACTCCTGATTTATTTAATTCACCATGTGGCACAACCACCTGCACAATAACAATTTCCTTTTAATTTTAAAATAAAGAATTCAGCATAAAAAACATTATTTTTAAAGTGGGAAAGCATTTCTCAGTTTATTTCCTAGACCTATAAATTAATAGATCATATATTCCCTGAAGATTTTTTAAAAAGTGCATAAAGAGTCTTCAAAGCCGCTTGAACTGTAACTTTCAAAAGAAAAATGATAGAAGCATGTTGCACTGTTATGGGGGTCCTTTTCTCTTTCTTTCTTTCTTTCTTTCTTTCTTTCTTTCTTTCTTTCTTTCTTTCTTTCTTTCTTTCTTTCTTTTTCTCTTACCTTTAAAATTAAAGGGTAATCCCATTATCTCATGGATATTTCTAGAAGATATATTGGTTTTGCTGCCACCATTTGCTGATTGGGAATTCTTTTGATTGTTTTTTCTTTATATAAATATCTATCTGACATAATATGACTTGGTGAAACATGGGGAAGATATAGACCAGTACAGGTACTGTATTAACATTGAAACAAGGAATCAAATTAATTTTATAAGTAACTTAGAACAGATTGTAAATATGGTTCCTTAATATTACAATTTGGGTTGACTAAGAGTATTTTCTTAGCCTGTCACTACAGAATGATTCCTAGTTATTTATATTTTACTGGCATTAAATACATATTCATAAATTCATCACTCTAATAAAAGGTTTTCCTAGGACTAGAACCTGAGCTTCCCCAGATCCATCCTTCCACCCATGTCTCCCAAAGCCTCCTCTCTTCAGTTCCCCCTCCTTTCAGAATGTAAACTGGGAGAAGGTGTCAGGCTGTGAGTGATAGTTCTAATACCCGGTCATCATAAGGCATGTGTTGAAATATCAAGAACACGTTTTTTTTGGCTTCCACTGTGTTATAAATTGGTGGCAAGAAAAGGAGACCTTTGGTGATTTGAAGAGTGATCCCCTTTTGCATCTGTATTTACTTGTAATGATCTATTTATTATTTTGTTATTGATTAATATTGTAGATACTTACTTTTGCCATTATACAGTATATTGTCTCTTTTAAATATATCTTAAAACATAAGACAAAAACATGGTTTTTTAAAAGAACATAATAAAGTTACAGTGGAAACTGATACAAAGAAGAGGTGAAAGAAAGAGGGGCTTGTTTTTGTAAACTTTAGCAGCTCTGTGTGGGCAAGGTGAGATGAATGGAGACTCTCTGCTTCTAAAGCATGTGCTCTATGACTGCACATGGTATTTACAGTTGCTTTCCATACATTTCAGGTAATATGGGCTAATTAATGATCAGTGATCCCAACTCTGGTAGTAACTGGTAGCAACTCTAGGCTTATCCTCTTGTCCTTCTCCTTTGTATTTCACTGTATTTTATGGATGAATGGGGTATGTTTTGTTCTGATATGTTAGAGCTTGCAGCTGGATTTGTGTCTGTGAATGGTTATTTAGACTAGTTGGCTTTTTCACAGACTTTCTGTAGAGCTTTCAGTCAATGGGGCAAGTAATAGTAAGGGTTGGCCTAGATGTCTTATTCTTTCTCCCCATTGTTTTTCCATTTGAGGATTCCTAGAGTGTGATGTACAAGTTCCTGTTGTTCAGTTCTCCTTCAGATGCAATGTAAGATATTTATGTTATTTAATTATTATTTTTAATAAGAATTTTCTCTTTTTAGGTCTCAGGTGTGATCAGTGCAAGTTTGGATATAAATTCATCCAGGATATTAAGCAAGATGGGTGTGAGCCTTGTCTATGTAACATCCATGGTTCCATGAACGATTTTTGTAATCCTTCCACTGGACAGTGCACTTGTAAGAAAGGGGTTAAAGGATTTCATTGTGATACCTGCATTGATGGCTTTTATTGGATGGATGCTTTTGGCTGTAAACCTTGTAGTTGTCAAACAGCAGGATCGGTTTCTGGTACAGTGTGTGATCCCAGAACAGGAAAGTGTATTTGCAAGCCTAACTTTGGTGGAAGACAGTGTGATGACTGCTTAAATGGGTATTATAAAGAATGGCAAAAGGATGCCTTATTCTGTGCGCCATGTAACTGTGATAAGTCTGGCTCTGTAAATGGCTCTTTAGTGTGTGACAAATTGACAGGACAATGTCTTTGCAAATCTGGTGTCACAGCTCTTCAGTGCAATCAATGCAGGCCCTATATGTATAACCTTACTACTCAAAATATTCTTGGCTGCATGGCTTGTGACTGTGATTCTTTAGGGACAGTCCCAGGAACAGCATGTGACCAAACCAGTGGACAATGTATTTGCCAGCCTCACCGCCATGGAAGGAGGTGTGAAAAGTGTAAGCCAGGTAAGACAAATGAACAAAAACATCATGTTTTGTAAATCCCTACTCAGATTCTGGGCATTCCAATCTTGGAAGCTGTACACTATGTAAAATATTGACTTCCTTATTAATTTTTGTTATAGGAAATCTTCAGTAAGCATGTTGGATATATCCATTCACAGGAGAAGGAACTAATATAAACATATGTTATTTTGAATCAGAGGTTATTGTGTCAAAAGGGCATACTGAAGTTAGCAAAACTGGCTGGACAAGCCTAATCAAGCACATCTTTTATTAAGCAAATTACAGGGTATTTTGCCATACTGTTATTACAATTCCACTGAATTCTCACTTTAAAATGTGCAGAGAGGTACTACATTTGTGCTCTGTAGTTCCTTGTCAGAATCAAATCCCAAGGACTTCACAATTAATTGATTGATTACATGCCATCAAATTATCTATTGATCACTAAATTCTTAGTGAACAATAGATAATCCTTCCCTAACCTGGTCCTTCAGGTCTTCCAGTGATGAACCCATTGTCATTGTAACTGAGTCCACCCACCTTGCTGCTGCTTGTTGTCTTTGCTTTTCGTTCACCTGAAGGGACAGGTTGGGAACAGATCATCCTGGACAAGGTCTATCTATATGGCTATTAAGGATCAACACTGACTTGATGACACATAATCATTCATAATCAAATGTTGCTAAAATATTTAACAATTGTGGGTGGTGTATATCACAATATACAATGTAAATTGCGATCTTGATTATATTACTTATTAGCTGAATTTTAATATTGTATGTTCCAAAATTGTAGGTTTTATGAAGATTTGTCAGGGATGGTGCAAGGAAATATAGGATGTTTTCATTTAGAGGTTGGTAGAATTGAAATACTGGCTATGTCACTGTGCACTACGACATTTACAGAAAGCAATATCTTTCCATCTTTTTTGGGGGGGGTAATAAAATCATATATCCAAGTTGTTTAAATTTCTGCATAGTTCAGATTTTCTTATAATGCATTGATTCTCTCTCTCTCCAAGACTGAACTGGTGAATTTTATCCTAACTCCTTGTAAATACTTTACTTATATGAATCAGGCAGAAGAAGCATGCATGAACAGAGGCAACAAACTTGATGTTCACTTATATTGGGCTACATTGCCTGATCAGCCCCTAGGTCAGGAGGAGATTTGACTAATATTAGAAGTCAATGTAAGATAGCCAAGAGACATAGTTTACCCCCATTTTTAAACATTAAAAATACTGGTATGTTTATAGCAATTCCAGATGCTTTAAAGCAGTGTATTTCAAACTTTTCAAGATCATAGAACACCCAACCATCCATCCCATATATATGGAACACATATTTCTTTAACGAAAGGGAAAAATAAAATACATATTGAAGTAAAACATATTGCAAAACCACCCTTCATTTTCTTTAACATTAATCCATCTGTTACAATTCTTAATGGAATGTATGAGTGTGCAAGTGACAGCTTATTTCATCAATATCTCAACTAAGATTTATTAAAGTCTTAGAATCACCAAGATAACATTCAGCCTATTTCAATATTTAGTCTTGGTTGCAACAAAGGCAGAAAAACCACTTTCATAAAAATACATTGAAGGAAAAGATAGCATAACCAACACTCGTATTGGCTCATATGTTCAGTTAGCTCAAACGTGAAAAGCTCATGTTCATGAACTTTCATCCTAAAGTCTTCTAGTTAGAAGAAGAGATCTGTAATAAAATGTACATATTAGAAAAGAAATATTAAAAAGGCATACTTTATATGGAATATATACTACAAAATCTACCTTTCAAAATGTATGAAAGTCTGCATATGATGCATAAAAATGTATGCGGATTGGGGAGATAATGGGGCTGAGCCAAATGAGGATTCAGAAACTGAAATCGTAAGATACTCTCATACTGCATTGCACTCCAAATCCATCAATGCTTAAATGAGGAAAAAATATTTATTTTATTGAAAACTAAGTATTAGAAAACATATCTCTCAGCTTCTCAGTAGATGTAAGGCATCCTGTAGTTTTTAATTCCAATTTCACTTGATATTTTCCTATTCCTTTAATGTTTCTTTTGTAGTCTGTGACAAATTTATGACTGAATGCATATTTTTATACTGTTTTCTTCCTTATTAGGTTTTTATATTTCTGCACATAGCGTGAGTGGCTGCCTACCCTGTTTGTGCCACCCAAGTGGCTCAGTCAGCAATATTTGTGACGCTTTCACTGGCCAGTGCGTTTGCCAAGATTCTTCTGTATCTGGGATGAGATGTAACCATTGCGGTGACAACTATTTTGGATTCAACTCAGAAACTGGGAAGTGAGTTTTTATTGCAAAGCTAAGCCAAATGGGGTTGTGATTCACGTAGCTGTTCCGAAGAAGGGAGGTACTTTGGAAAAGCAGTTAAGGACATGTTATAGGAAATTTAACATTTCTGCTTCCGTTTATCAGTATCCTGGCCAGCTAACTTATAGGTGTATACAAAGTTTTGATAAGGTTACCTGAGTCCAAGATAATTCATTTGAATCACCCCATGGAAACAGGTCTCCAAAATGGCACCACATTTTGACTTATTTGTTAGCTATATATTCCACTTTTTTTTCAGCAGCACTTCCCATTCCATTTTTCTCCCCAACAATACCCTGTGAAGTAGGATGGGCTGGCAGAGAGTGGCATGGCCCAAAGTCACCCAATTTCCATGGGTGGACTTGGACCTAGGTTTCTCTGGTCCTAAGGCTTATTTACTTGCCACCTTAACTGTACTTTCCTCCTGTCCTTCATCTGGAAGGGACTTCTATCACCCTAAGTCTTACTACCCTAACAGTGCATTCTTACCATGCATCCAGAATAGGCCTGTGCTGTGCTGTAAAGGCAGTGTTTGATGGTTTACTCTGGCTGAAATTTGAATATCACCAACTGCAGGAAAAGCTGCCACCAATCACTATGCAGAATGCATCCCAGGGTGGTATGTGTACACTCTGGGTGCTCTACTCAATCATTTTTTTCCACTTTTTATTCTGTTGACTTAACCTACCACTTGATGGCAACAAAGGGTTTGTTTCTTACGACCACAACATAGAGGTTACCAAAATTTGTGCTGTTCAAATACCGATGCTGCATAAGTGTTCTTGGGGTTTGAGTGTGTGTTGTAATTATTATATCATTATCATTACTGTTGTTATTATTGGTGAAATATAACAATCCAAATATAATAAATAGGGAAAAATAAAACAACAGTAATTATACAGTGAAAAAAGAAATTAATGCATAATAATGATGAAAGTGAATTGAAAAATTGAAAAGAAAAAAGGATCCATATAATATTAATATATAATTAGCCAAATCCTTTTACATATCATTAAATCTAGACCAGTGTTTTTCAAACTTGGCAACTTTAAAATGTGTGGACTTCAGCTCTCAGAATTCCCCAGCCAGATTATTGACCAGACAACCTACCAACCACTAGGTGATAGCAAAGAGAGTTTTTAATCTCCATCTCTTGGTCTTCTGGATTTGTGCAATCAAAATGTAGCCACTGGATAAGTGTTGTTGAAGAGCTGGAGTTTGAGAAAGGGGTTCTCATAAATCAATTACACTTCAAAGTGCAACAAATAACGTGGCTGCTGGCATAAGATTCCAGGCTCCCATGTAGCCAGCCAAATACTGAAGGACAGGCGTGGAACCCAGTGACTGGCTGGAAGGCTTCCATCTCACAAAGAACTCCTGGACCAACTGGAGCCAAGCAGATTGCTTACACCAACCGTGTCAACTCAAACCACCCTTTCCATTCTGCAGGGAATGGCTTGTACTGGCATAACTTAGAAATCACCACTTCACACAAGAACACCTACATCCTTCTTTGGGCTGCCTTATTTTTACATGCCAAGTTAAACCTGGCTCTTATTTGCTTCACCTGCTTGTCTTTTAGTGGCCCAGCATCTCTATACCAAAGAATTAAAACTTACCTACCAGTCAAGCAAACAATGGAGAGCAAACTGACTCTCCTACCACATAGACAGAGCATCCCTTTTTCCCACTGCCAGATCCTGAACCATCACAGCAGGGTTTGAACCAATTCCTGCTACTTGATTGGCTATGTGGGAAATCATTTTAAAAACTAAGAACACATCTACACTGCCAAATTAAAGTGATTTTCTGCAGTCTGTGAGCCAGCATGAAAGTATGCTGGCTTCAAGGATGCTGTCTACATCTTGAACCCTTTTTCTGCCTCAGCAACAAGATAAAATGGGGTCTTTGTTAACAAGAGAAGTGGGTGGATGAGAGAGGTGGGATGGGTAATGGGAGCCATGGGTCTTCTGCTGCCAGTTTTCTGACCCCATGGATTGATCGTTCCATGGTATAAGAGAACTGGGTCCAAAAGAGACATTCTCCCGTGCTTCTCCTGCCACCAATGGTAAGAAAATGAGGGCGGGGGACTGGTTTCTTTCTGGTCCCAGTTCTCCCAGTAAACAGTGAAGTTCTGCCCCTTTAACTAGCATCTGAAGAGCTACTTCCCTCACTTTTTTCCTTCTCAAGAGGAAGGAAAGGGGGTAGAAACATCTCTTTATCTGGCAAGCAAAGCAGTAAACTGCCTCTCCCCATGGATTAAGTGCTGCAGTCCCTAATCCAGCTGTGATGGAATGGAATTATGAAGGCCACACTCAAGGAGGCAAGCATCCTCTTTTGTCTCCAGAGGGACGAGGAAGAGATAAGAGGATGAGGCTGGCACCTCCCTGCGGAATTCA